ATTGAATTTATGTGCATGTCCATGGACAGCCAGAAGAATGATGGAAAAGAAAAAAGGGGTGCTGATGGCATCAGTATTATTCATAAGATTAGTCGCTCAAATCCTGTAAATAGGTCTCATGACAAGACTCCAAATGTACAGTTTATTATTATTTTTTTTTTCCAGGTTATGAAACACTAAGTTGATCATTTTCAGTTAATACTAAATAGTCTGAATAACAATATTAGTTGTGGGAAGATACAAATAAATGTGAGATGTTTCTTTCTTTGCACAGAGTGATATGTCCTTTGTCTGGCCAAATGCAGCTGTTAATGCTATAGCTGCTCTTGAGAAGGCTGCACACGATGGATTTTCCTCAGATTCTCAGAAGTACAACCAAAAGTTGCAGCATTTAACACATTATCTTAAGGTTGCCAACTTCTTATCTAGAGTCTGCAAACATGTGTATCAGTGTTTGTAAATGTCTTATACAGTTAGTGCGCCTCTTAACCCACACAGCTTGCGGAAGTACTTGTTTGGTCTAAGTGAGAATGACATATACCATGGGACATTTGATTAATGCTTTAATCTATCCCCATCTGCACTGTAATTAATCTACTTCCTTTTCTCTGTTTAGTATTTTTCTTCCTCATAAATTCACAGTTTCTTTCCAGAACAATGCTGTATTAGCACGGCGTGTTCTAAGTGGGGAGCTGGAACCGTCCCATATACTGAAGATGTCTCCAAATGAATTAAAGGTCGATTCTTAATTTCCCTTTCCCCTTGTTTTGTTTTGCCTTTTGGGCATTGAATATTCGATGTTTCTAGTATACATATCATCTAATAATTAAAAGCTGTCCTTAAACATTTATAGTATATGAGAAATTATATCCTGGAAACATGTTTGGCTGTCAGGATGATGGTACAAGCCTTTGTTGAGTAGACATTATTATTATTATTATTATTGACCTTCACTTACCTTTTGGTTCTAGAAAATTTGTCTGGTGAGAAATTAACGTGTTAGGTTATTTGTTTCTGTTAAAGTTTTAAAATGAGACCTAATTTCCTTCATTTTATATATTCTACTCAATTGCGCTGCATTCTTGCTGTGGACTTGGATTATCTCCCTCTTGCAAGTGTACACGTTTTTATATGGGTATATGAATTTCTGTTTACTGGGATATCTTTTTCAGATCTCTTACTATTTTAGATGGGGAAAACACGTATTTACAGGGATGAAGTGCTTTCAGTTTGGTCCTTGACGTGCTAAATGACAGGTTCTAAGCTTGAAGAGCTTGAACAGAGTGAAACTGACGTCAACATATGGTGTCTTTATAAGAATCGCAAGCAATTCAGTATTATTTTGATGCAAATTCGAATTTCCCTCAATTCTCTTAGTTTAACAGCCCCAAATTTTTTCAGGAAGGTCTAACAGCAAAGGAAATAGCTAACCTTAGGAGTCATGGCACATGCAGGTTATTCAGTGTTCTTTCATCTGATGATTGTGTCGATGAAATTTTTAGTCATGCAATTGTATTCAAATAGAATAAACTATGGATCCTCTTTAACCTTCGATATATAGTACTGTAACTTTCACTTTTGAGCCGTGGTTTTTTTTTACATTATCCTTTTATTTTTGTTTCTGGCGCAGATGACTGATGCTGGTGAGGTTCGTGGCAACAGTAGGATTTTTGGAATGTCTTTTGGCCTTGGTCTATCTTGCTGCGGTTTTTTGTATTGAACTGTTGTCTTTTTTGCAATTTCGAAGGCTCTAAAGGGGAGCACTCGAATGTCTGGGGTGTTACTATCTCCTGTATAGATTGATTTTGAATACTTGATGCATGTCTAAATCTATATTACTGAATGAATGGAAACTGGATATATCTAGCTTTAGCAAAAGGGTTGCCTTTTTCCTGTGTGTTCGTTGTTTTAGTTCACATATTTAATTTTGGTATCAAATAGTTAATATTTATATTTAAGAGTACTGAAATGGATCGAGAATAGAAAAGAATTTTAATTATGTCAACTTCAAGTCCTAATGGTCAAATTGGATAAAAGCAAAGGGTTTATACAAATTATGATGATGTATAGGCGACCACTAAGCATACAATTAATCAGCGCTTTGTTGAATTTACAAAGGAAACGTTCTTATGACATATCATTTCTGTTTACACTAAAAGCGGATCATGTTTGTCTTTGCTTACAAGCATTAAAATTCCCATCATAATTCATATATTAAGAGAGTCGTACACGGGACCAACTCAATATTTTTCCATATAGTTTTTATTGTTTTTGGGCCACACTTTTTGAAATTACCAAACTGGAATATGAATAGGGGGGAAGAATTTTACGTGGAACAATGAATGCATAGAGATCAGAGAGAGCACCAATGGCTAAAGCACTTTCT